AAACAAAACAAAACAAAAACAAGAACTCATAGAAAGGTGTTTTTTGTTGTTGTTTAAACAGGGTCTGCCTATATAGTTCAGGCTGCCCTTAAACTCAACTATAGCCCAGGCTGGCTTTGAATTCACAGCAATCTTCCTGCCTCAGCCTCGCAAGTGCCAAGATTACAGCCAGTGCCATCATACCTCGGTCGACAGACATCAGTGTCTTTATCAGTCTCCGTAACCTGCTGACATAAGGAAGAGTTGGCTGGGTGTAAATGGCGATTAACGACTCTGTCCTTTGCTATGAACGGACAGTTGCCGGATGCGGTAGTGCACACCTGCAATCCAGCACTTGGGAGGCTGAGGCAGGAGGATCACCACCAGTGTGAGGCCTACATAGCTCAAGCCCAGTCTGAACTGCATAGTGAGACCCTGTCTCAAATAGCATAACATAACATAACATAAAGTAAAGTAACATAATATAACATAACATAAGTAACAACGTAACATAACCTTCCCTTGCACCTAGCAAGTCTGCCCAGGCCCAGCCAGGACTGCCTGGACGTGCTGATCCATGGGAGACAGTCTTTTTGTGCTTCTGTTTTTCCCTTTCTCTTTGGTCTCACTGTTGCAGCATCACATTGCAGGTGGGGCTGGGGATTTAGCTCAGCAGCAAAGCGCCTGCCTGGCAAGTGCAAGGTCGTGAGTTCGATTCCTGGTACCGGAAGAAAAACGAAAAACAACAGCAACAGCATCACATTGCAGGATGGCGTGTGGGTGGCGAGTGCTTCACCTTGTACCCCACCCCTCCACCTCCTCCCTTCCCCGGCACTAACTCATAACCTGTCTCCTGAGTGCAGACGTTCAACAAGCTGGTGGGGAAGTTCAGCCAGTCCATCTTCCACCCAAACTCGAGCCAGATTCTCTCCGCGACGCTGGAGGGGAAGCTGGTGGTCTGGGACATCCAGCGCCGCCCCACGCCGGCCCCGGGCTCTGCCGATGGCCCCTCCATCAAGCCCTGCAAGCTGGTTCACCTGCAGAAGGAGGCAGTCAGCGTGCTCACCGTGGCTGACGGGTAACCGACCTCGCCCGGCAGCCATTGCGCACACACAGGGTGTCACGCAGGAGTGGCGAGGACCAGGGGAGTCCGCCTCTGGGGGCGAGAGCTGAGCC